TCGGTATGACAAATTCTTAGTTGCCTGTTTACATCTGTCAGAAAGGTTATAGTTCTGAACCCACTTAATATTAATTGATAAACAAACACTTTCCTTACTGGGAGCGCTTGCATGAAGAAAAATTTAGGCTCATAAAAGTCAGATAAAGTAAAACTATACTAATTCACAGTAACTGAAAGACCCTTGCTAATTAATGAATTTTGAAAATTAGCAAGTAAGGACCAGATACTGAGAGTTAAAGAGCACCTCAAATTCTTGCTGATTAATGGGAGTTGCAGCTAATCAGCACTACTCAAAGGACCTCAGCCAAAGCCCACTGAAGTCAATGAGAAGATGCCTATTGACTTCAATGGACTTTGGATCAGACTCAAAATCAGGTCAACAGTAAAAAAAAAAAAAAAAACAAGATAAGGCAGCGCATAACAATATGCCTTGTTCATGTATTTGGTCAACTGTAGTTTATTTTTAAATTATGAAAATACTTTAAAGTTTATTTCACAATGTTCTGAGCACTTTCCTAATATGGAAGGAGGCATGAATTCCTTCCCAAGGCACTCACAGCAGTATACTAGTAAATATTCTATAACACATTCTGCAAAAATGATGAAGTCTTAGTAACATAAAGGACCTTATTCCAGCTTGCGTTCTTAAATATCTGCAAAGACGGGGAAAATGCCTAGATTTAGTATAGATTAGTAAGGGTCTAATTAATATTTTTCTTCTGTTACTTTTCACACCTAATAAAAAAGGGCCAGTGTTAGACTTTTTTTTGTTAATGAATTTGCAACAAAAACAGAAGCCCTGATCATGCACTGCATTCCATGTGGGCAGATCGCTATGCCCATGGACTTTATTAGAAACTCCCGTGTCTCTGGAGCTCACTCTGTGATTGGAACTGGAGTGAGTACATAGAAAGATATTTCATATTTAGCTTAACTGAAAAATCTCCAAGAAGAAAATTAAGATACAAAATAAAATAGGTAACTTGTATGCTTTTGTATGTCACAGAGGAGGAGAACTCCATATGCACAAAAGCAGAAACATTTCAGTATAAAATAAGGTCTAAATATTTTCAGTAGTTTTGACTCATTATGAATAGATTCATTTAACAGATCAGGTTCTACCATTTCGAAACATTTCAGCAAAAACAGCTAATAATGAACTATCACCTCTCTATTTTCTTCTTGGATAATGTACACAGCAGGCATGAAACTTAATGCAAGTTATGCAAGAGGATGAAAGTAAAATTATACCTAACAATGCTGTTTTTAACAATTAAGGCTCCAGATCTGGAAAGACTTAACTTTACATGCTTAACTATGAAATCAGTGTGTAAAGTTAAGCATGTGCTTAAGTCTTTCCAGACATGAAGCCTAAATGTGTAACTGTCTCACAGCTACTGAACTGAGCATGAGGTCACTAGATACACAGTACACAAATTTAAAATTTAGTTAAATCCCTGAAAAATATATCTGCTTAAATAAAATAGCAGCATTTTTCATCCTATAATAAAATATAGAAGCAATACTTTGTCACTACATGTTATCTTTCATCAGAGGATCTAAGATTTACAAACATTAATTATCCTATGTGAAGTAGATATTAGTCACATTTTACAGATAGGGAAACTGAAGGACAGAGTAATTCACACAAAGACATAAATAGTGACAGCTGGATAAGTTGGGAACAGAACCCAAGACCTCCCTACTCCCTGTAGTCTGGTCTAACCATCAGACAGTGCATGCTCACCAAGATAGAATGATAAATAATATTTTAAACTCTGTTAAGACAGGTGAATTTAGAATATGCTGCAGGGGTGACCGTAGAAACAAATACACTAGTGAGAATAAGGCTATTAAGGGAACAACACTCTTAAAAATGGATCAGAAAGTTGTAACAAGATATGTGAGTGGGGAAATAAAGGGGATGGAGCAATTTTTTATGCAGTGTGAAGAAAAACTGTAGAAGAAAGTAGTTCTACAGATATGTCAGCTTAAACTAACAAACCTTTTAACTATTTTTAGTTCACATTTTAAAGGAATGTTGTCAAGTAAGAAAAATATACACATATATGTAAGCACTAACACACAACAGGGAGCATTCTGTTCAGCCAATACACACATTTTGGGTGTGCTGAGGTACAAAGTCCAGCAGCGTATTTCAGCCCACCCAAGACGTGCATATATTATCCGACACACAAACTTTTCATTTTATTTTTTGCACAGGGTGTGAATTCAATTTAGTTATTTGTGCTGTTAATACAAATTCTATATATAAACTGCTATTGTTAATAAAATTACAAGAACTTTCACTTATATTTTTTGCTTTAGTTTGTGAAGGCAGTGTAGCAGCACTGTTAGCCTACTGTTAGTAGGCAATGAACCAATATTATTATTATTTATTATTTTATTATCATTGCACTTAAGAGCCCTAGTCTTAGACCAGGGTGTCCCATTGAGTTAGGTGCTGCACAAGTACAGAACAGAAAGATAATCCATGCGCCAAACAGTTTTCAATCTAAGTACTGATACCTCTCAAACCGGTGTCTTACCTGGAATACAATTCACACGTTACACTATCACATAAACATCCCAACAAATCCCTTGTATTCCATTTAGCATAACAGACCAACTATCACACTGGGGGATAAAATGAAGCAATATTGACTAAACTTCTTCAAACTATAAAGCTCTAACATTTATTTTTCCAGTAAAGTGTTTTTATCAGAAAAATTGTCTCTTCATTCCACACTCTCTTCTTAAACAAATAGATCAGTCTGCACTGCTTTGAATTGTTATCAAGCAGGACCCTTATCAGCATGGACGCATGTCCTCTGGAATGGTTGTTGAAGACGAAGGGACAGATGACTCTTTAGCACATCTAGCATGTAATTATCTTGCGACGCCAGCTACAACAGTGCCATGCAAATGCCTGTTCTCACTTTCAGGTGACATTGTAAACAAGAAACGGGCAGCATTATCTCCCATAAATGTAAAACTTGTTTGTTTGAGTGACTGACTGAATAAAAAGTAGGACTGAGTGGACTTGCAGGTTCTGAAGTTTTACATTGTTTTATTTTTGAATGCAGGTGGTGTTTTGTTTTTTTTTAACATAATTCTACATTTGTAAGTTCAACTTTCATGATAAAGAGATTGCATTGCAGTACTTGTACGAGGTGAATTGAAAAATAGTATTTCTTCTGTTTTTTACAGAACAAATATTTGTAATAAAAAATAAACATAAAGTGAGTACTGTACACTTTGTATTCTGTGTTGTAATTGAAATCAATATATTTGAAAACATCCAGAAATATTTAAATAAATGGTATTCTATTATTAACAATGCGATTAATTGCACAATTAATTTTTTTAATCGCTTGACAGCCCTAGTATATAGTAATCATCATCATAATACCTAGCTCTACATATGGCAGAAGGCATTTAAAATTGGAGAACTGAGCCCTTCTGGGCAGTAGGATTTTTTCCCTAAAATTTCCCACCATTGCAACCACCACTGTGCCATTTGTGGTACCAATGGTGGGCACAGTAGTGTAGAAAATGTACCATATCATGTTGATTCACCCTGAACTGGTTTAGACATCATGGTACTTAAAAACACTGGTGGTTACCTGGAGCCCTGTCCACACTAGCACTTCCTCTACAACTACCATTAGCAGAATCAAACTGCTTGTAGTAATGGTGGAAATTTTTAAAACAAAGATGTAGTGTGGACACATAAGAGATGCTACTGCCTGGTTTGCAGCCATGCATTCTTTGTACAAAAAGTACTATAGGAAAGTAACAGCCCTATACTCTGTATTATGCTGTAATACTTTAGGCCATTATTATAGAATTTGCAAAGAGTCCTGTGGCACCTTATAGACGAACAGATGTATTGGAGCATAAGGTTTCGTGGGTGAATACCCACTTCGTCAGATGCATTATAGAATTGTACATAGTGAGATGACACACCTCAAAATTATTTGCTTGTGGGACTCTTCTTTTTTCAAAAACAGTGAACTGTTCTGACAATTATGTGCCATCAATAGGCCTGTATAGAAATAGTCCCTCTCTCTTCAATCCCCCATTTAAGTAACTAAGGTTCTGATCCTGCAAATACAGGAGAGTAGCTTTACGGATGTGAGTTGTCTCCAAATTCTATGGGACTGCTCAGGTGCCTAAATACACGCAGGATCAGACTTTACTTACATTACTCACTAATCTCTCTTCTTCACCACAGCACCTCCTGCTATCTACTGCTAGCTCATCCCCAGCAGCTCAGCATTCTCTGAATCCCCTGACACAGGATACCAGGCACAACTGACTCACACAAAAAGGGACTGAACAAACTGGAAAGTCCTTTTCACCCCTGTCCTTGCTCACCAAAAAAATTTGTTTGTTGATATACTGTTGTGGTTCACAAAAGACTACTCTAAAGGCACTTACAGCCATCCCCAATGCCACTTTCCCCCAGCTGCCACTCATTACCATTGCTTAGCCACTGTAGTGATGGGCACTAGAAATTCGGATGCAGCACTCTCCTAGAGCCCCATAAATCGCCACCAAGCACCTACCCACTGCCCAGCACTATCCTATTCCCAGCCCAATATCCAGCCCCCAACTGTCATGCTATCTCCAATCCCCCTCACTACCCATCCCCAACCTCCCCTTCCCATCCCAGTCCCCCTCACTGCCCATCCCCAACCTCCCCTTCCCATCCCAATCCTCCTCCCCAGACTTCCTCAGTGCCCAGCCAAGCCCTCTTCCTCCATTCCCCTCCCCATGGCCCATCCCCATGGCTCCCCACTGCCCTCTCGGCCCACCCGCCCCCTCCCCAGTGCTCCCCGCTGCCCATCCCCAAGCGCCTCGGCCCGGTTGCCGGGGGCGGGAGGGCCACGGGCCTGTCCCTCCTCTCGGCAGCCTAACAAAAGCCCGCCAGCCCCCGGCCCCGCTCCCCCGGGAGTCCCTCGGCAGACTAGGAGCGGGTGAATCCCAGACACAATGAGGCGCCAGCAGCGACTCACCCACAGCTCCGCGCCCCAGCTCATGGCGGCTCCGCGGGCAGCGCAGGCTGACGAGAACCGGGTCCGGGGTGGCTGCACAGGGCCGGGGTCTCCTGGGCGACCGGGGCAGGACGAGAGGTAGCTGCGGCGAGTCAGGCTGCGGCGGCTCCACGGGCTGGGGACAAGGGGAGGGGGAGCCGCGGAGGAGGCTGGGAGAGGGGCGGGCTCGGCTACGGGGGAGGGGAGAGGCCGCCGCTCCCCAGGGAGGCCCAGGGACAAGGTCGGGGCTGCGCTACCTCCTCCCGTAATAGGGCCCCTAGAGGAGCCCTAGCGCAGCTCTCTGGGTCTCACTGTGGGGAGGGGGTCTCAGACGGGGATCGAGGGCTCCTTCCTGGGGACGCGGGGTCTCCCTTTGCGGGGTGGGGGTCTGGCGGTGGAAAGGGGGCTTCCTCGGGGGCCCGCGCTGGGGAGGGAACGCCCCCCTAGGGAGAGTCTCGCGGGCGGGGCACTCTTGGGGGTCTCGCTTTAGGGGCGTCTTTTATTGCAGGGGGAGCAGGTCGGGGTAGAAGGGCTATTTCCCAGCATGGGGGTGCGGGGGAAGGGGAAGACGACTCGCTCTCCCGGGGCTGCGCGCCACTGTTCCAAGGCTTTCTCTGGCAGCGGACAGCTGCCTGCCCCTGCCGGCTCAGGAAACCTCCTGCTGTAGAAGCCCGGAAGAAAGAGCCCCTCCCTTTTTCTCCTGTGCTGATCCCGACCCAGCCTGTTCCCAGAGAATCCAGGCAGGGGGAATCGATTACAACCATTGGTTTCTATTTCTTAAACATGGGGAAGAGAGCAAACTAAATGTGGAATAGCCAAGGCAACATGCAAATAAAGGAAATTAAGTGGGATCCGTACAGAAACTTACTGCTGCTGAGCATTGATCTGAGACTGAGAAATTATTTCTGACTCAGTAAGTAAAAATAATACCTGAGCACATGCGTTATGTAATATTTCTTCTTATGAAGAAGGAAGGATGTCATTACAGGAACTCATTAAAATCGTGCTATATAGCACCTGACCAAGATGTTCCCCTTAAAGCTTTGTACCTCGGTATAGGCCACACAATTCCACAGAGAATGACTCACGCAGGAAAACACTCAGCTTCTAAATCAATATTGCCAGTGCAGTTGTATCTGAAAGCATTATTCATCCAACCAGAATTACAGGGAACAATACTAAAGCTTTGATTAGATACACTATTGTGATGCTAAGAGAGATCTGAAAGGAGGAGGAATCTGGTTTTTGACCCCCTTATTTTTATAATTATGCATTAATAGATCCTGAAAAGTCCTTCTTTTAAAGTTTCTTTCTGCTTGTTTTTCACCTTAGAAATGTGAGGTCTTGTTTTACCAATTTTTGTTGGTTGACAAGAATGACTCAGATGCTTCCTTAGCTCTTAATTAAAGGGATATGTTGAAAGGGAACTTTTTTTTATTATAAACGAGTTGATCACCATATTTGGGGTCGGGAAGGAATTTTCCTCCAGGGCAGATTGGAAGAGGCCCTGGGGGTTTTTCGCCTTCCTCTGCAGCATAGGGTACGAGTCACTTGCTGGAGGATTCTCTGCACCTCGAAGTCTTTCAACCATGATTTGAGGACTTCAATAGCTCAGACATAGGTGAGAGGTTTATTGCAGGAGTGGGTGGGTGAGATTCAGTGGCCTGCATTGTGCAGGTCAGACTAGATGATCATAATGGTCCCTTCTGATCTTAATATCTATGAGTCTTGTGGCACCTTAAAGACTAACAAATTTATTAGATGCCACAAGACTCCTCATTGTTTTTGCTGAAACAGACTAACACGGCTACCCCTCTGAAATTTTTATTATGATGGTTTAAAACTTTGTTTTCTGTTAACATCTATTTAACTTAAACATTTGAGAGGAAATGTTTTAAGTTAAAAAGGCGTTAACAAAAAACAAAGTTTTAAACAATCAAAAATAAATTCCCCTTCAATGAGGTTTCACTTCCTTGGTATACATTTCTACTCTGGCTAACCTGCTAGCTTTCTAGTCATCCGTAGTGTTTCAGGATAGACAAAATCTGAATTTTTAAGGTTAAAAAAGCAGTTGAGGGGTGCGCAGAAACACTTTTCAGGCCTTTGTTATATGTTATCATGAAGCAAAGAGGGAAAAACTTTTTTTCCATTTGCAAGTCACCTTTTAGGTAATGTGCCTAGTTGTCTTGTTTAAATAGGTTTCATCTTATAAAGGGACAAAGTTAAGCTTTAATAAGCCTCTGAATTCCATCAACTTTCTTTTTTCAGTAAAGCAAGGAATTATCAAAATAATAAACAGGTGATCTTGTATGAAACATATGTCTCTGCACAGCTGCTATGATAAAGATCATGGGCCAAATTCATTCCTAGAGTAACTGTTTAAATCAGTGACTTTACAGCAGGAAATGGATCCAGCCCCCTGTATGTGTGCAGATTTATGTGAGTGTTGTGCCAGATGTTATGTTCCCTGAAAGCAGGACTGGGGCAATAAAATATATTAGTTTAGATGGAATATATGGGTCCAAAGGGTCAAAGATGTTAAGATGACTCTCTCACAGTCCAACATTAAAACAGTTTTAAACAAGGTTCAGAGTTTAGTATACAGAGACCTCAGTCTGCTTAGTACCATGGCAAACACCCCATTAAAAATCCTTTTAATCTTCTATTAGATACAGAAAAGAAGGAAAAACAGCATTTGAAATGTAAAGTATTAAAGTAAGGCTTTCATTTTAGCAATATCCCTTGCTCCCCTTCCCGTTAGTTGAAGAGAGCTTTTATAAGGACAAAAACCCTTGTTTGACAGTTTCTCAGATGGTATCAAAGATGATAACTGACCTTCTGGGTAAAAAAGAAGTTCGTAGATATGATCTGGAGCTGTTGGCGCTGTTAAAGTTGTATCCCATTTCATCCCATGTGGTGTTTGTCACCTCTACCTACTCCAGATGAATCCCAGTGGTACCTCTCTGTGGCCTGGTCAGGTCAGGACATCTTTCAGGATCAGGATGACGAAGGCTGAGGATCGCAGGAGACCATGGGGTGTCAGTCATGATGTTGAAACTCACTCTAGTAACCTCCATCCATTTTTCTGTATTTCCCCCTCCAATGTCTCTTTCTTTAAGGACCTAAAAAGGAAGCAATGGATGGAATAACCCATCCCCTCATTATTTTGTCCACCAATTAGGCCTAATATCCAACACTCCAGTTTTGGTTCGTTAGTTTCCAGACCCACATTTTCTTGTTTACCAGGCATGATCTTAATGCAGTCCTTGAGTTATATCAGTAGGTCTTTTTGTTTGGACTATTTCAGTCCAATTTTCCCATCAACATTTATTATTAGAGGTTATTATGACATCTTATGAACATTCACAGACTTTTTACAGTTGAGCTCACAATTAGGGTAAATGCAAACATATCCCTATATTTTAGTCTATAGACTAAATTTCACACACACACAAACTTGTGTAGAACTCAGACTGCTGCCTGTGCTTGGACAGTTAATATTTCATCATTTTAAAGTCCTAAATGCCAAAAACAATTTTATGCAATCTGTACTAATAAGTGCATGACAATACTGCTGTGAATAGAGTAGAAAATGCTCACCAAAACTGCATACACGTTTGATGTCCTCAAACACTAATAACTCATTCTTAAAAAATTAAATAATTCAAGATAAATTTGCTTTCACATCTAGGAACATAAATTATCTTTATTAAACTGTATTGATTTACCTTTTTGTTTAGATACAAGGACATGAGAAATATCAACCTTAAAATTGTTATAGTTTTGCACTTATTAAAAAAAATCCTTCAGAAGACAGATAAGTTAATCTATTTCTATGTAAACGCTGGAAATTTTGGTTCAGATCCTGAGTAGGTCAAAATTAGAATAACGTGTTCACTTGTATACATTTTTTACCACATAACTCCTCTTTCAAATTAAGGTCAATATTGTAACTTGTCCCCATTGTAAGAAATCTTACAGTCAAAGGTAAAAAGGAATGGATAAGCTATTACTTCAGGAGCAAGATTATCAAAACTGATTAGTGACTCTGGGTGCCTTAATTTTGTGTGCTCAGCTTGAGACAACTTGAGGCCCACAATTTTGAAAAATATGAGCTCTGTGATTTTATATATATGAAAGTTACATCCAGGGGAGGTTTCATCTGAATACTTGCAATAATGTTGGTTGGTTGGTTAAGAGTTGCACATATTTTAAAGTGCTGAACTTTTATTTTTTTTAATGGAACTCCTGCATAAGAACTAATTAAATATTCCCATTTCAACCTGATATATTTTACAAAAATTCCCCAAAATGTCAGGGGCTTTTCTATTCATATTAATATAACCAGACTTACTGTTATACTGGTGATCTAGTAGTGCTTGGAGCTTTCAATGACAGAATGTATCATAGCTGCAGTCATCAGACACTGAGCTCCTCAGTAGGAAACATTGCTTTCAAGTTGATATTTTCCATTCTGTAGAACCATTTGGATCTCACAGTACTACCATCATGCATTTATTAGTTAGTACAGATCGCATAGTTGTTTTTGGCATGTAGGACTTTAAAATTATGAAATAGGGGGTAAAATTGTATACATAGGTGAGATCCTCATCCTTGCTCTGGTTCCCTTCATATCAGGTAGATGGGCCAGAGTGGCATAAAGCCCCAATGCTGGCTGTTGGAGGATTCCCCTAGTGCAGGCAGGCATCACTCCTGCAATCCAGGTACATAAGACAGCCATAAGGCTGTTTTTCAAGGACCCCCTCACAAGCCTTGGTATAGGGGATATACTAAGGATTGATGGGGAAGGAGCCACAGCATTCAGTGTTACAGAGATTCCAGGCAATGCTGCAACCCATAGTGTATAATTTAAACAGCCCCTCTGGCCTGTATAACTTAATGACAGAGACTGTTCCACACCCCAAAGCAGCCCAGGATCAGGAGGGTACAAAGGTGTCTTAAAGCCATCCGAGCCCCTCTCCCTTGGACTGCAAGTTCTGTTCTGTGCCTCTTGGAGGTGCAATCAGTTCTGCAACTAAATTGTATAAACAATTATGGGGAGATTGGATAATCATTAAATAGTCTATGAAGAATTGGAGGAAAGGTGGAGCTCTTACACACACAAGTAGCTTTTGTCTCTCAGTTTTGGAATTCTTGTATTACAT